CGTCCCGTGTGCAAGAGGGCTTAGTATGGAAATCTAATTATTAATCATCGCAGGCACTACGTGATTACCCCTAACACAACAGAAATCATTGGACATATAAAGATAAATATGAAAATGCATGTGAATCAATAATTAAACATAAGGTAACTCCCTCCTCACTGGCCTGCCTCGCCGCTGGCTATCCCCGCTTCAATCGATCCTGAATACGGCTGTCAGACTCATTCACCTTTCCAACCACTCTGTTTACGCCACCCCCCTCTGCCAATCCCTCCACTAGCTTCCGATTGCACAACGGATCAAATTCAAAATCCTAACACTGACGTACAAAGCTGTCCATCATACTGCCCCGAACTACATCACCGACCTAATATCCAAGTACCGCCCAGCACGCACACTCCGCTCCTCACAAGTCCTCCTCTCTAGTTCCCTGGTCTCCTCCTCCCATGCCCGCCTCCAGGACTTCTCCAGGGTGTCACCCATCCTCTGGAACTCCCTGCCCCAACCCACCAGATTATCACCTACTCTCCTCTCTTTTAGGCGCACCCTGAAAACCCACCTTTTCAGGGAAGCCTACCCCTCCCCCTGCTAACTTGCCAACCTCCTCCACTCTTCCTACCACTCCCATCCCCCACAGCTATCTCCTCCTGTGCCACCATCCCCTCCCTCCTAGATTGTAAGCTCAAAAGAGCAGGGCCCTCGATCCCCTCATGTTTTGCATTGTATTGTATTGTTATTGTTCTGAACCCCCATTGTAATGTACAGCGCTGAGCGAACTATTGGCGCTTTATAAATACTGTATAATAATAATAATAAGGTTGCTGTGTGCACCATAAAGTGGTTTCACTCCACCCCCTCAGGAAATAATGCAGCAAAAGATGCCACTCAACCCACAAACCTTCACTATAGAATAATAATAAATAAAGTCCAAAACATAAAGTCCAAAGTAGTGAAATCTTCCACCAAATTATCCACATATGCCATTATCTCAGTTAACCAATATCTTCTCTAACTCCCCACCAGGGCTACTCATGCATACACCTCTCATGAACAATATATGCTCACCTCCAGACTAGACCCTGATGGCTAGTCAAGGATCACATGCGCTTTTGCCCCCTTCATGGGCTACAAACAGGATGGTTCCAGATTCACTCCACCACAGATGGCTTCCACTGTTCCATGGATCCTCCATTCACGTAAGAAGCATTATTCATGAAATAATAATAGGGACTGATAGCGCTCTTTTTATGGGCAGCACAGTGGATAAATGGTTAGCACTTCCGCCTGGCAGTACCAGCGTTGTTGGTTCAAATCCCAACACAGGCAACTCTCTGTTTCATCACCTCCACTGCCATTTCCAACATCAAATTGGCCGCCAACTGACTCCACTTCTATACGTGTTATGCCCATTCAACAGGCTTTATCAGTAGGCCTGGGGGGGTCGGGGGTTTCATTCATAGAAGTAGTAATAACTGTTTCTAGAATTGGAGGAGCTGATCGGACAGTGGGGCATAGTCAGGCACTCTTGATAAGAGCCTGTGATAGCCTCACAGTTCTGGAAGATTATGATGTCAGGGGTAGGGGGGTGACCTGGAGAATGGGAGATTTCTACTGAACTAGAAGACTGAAGCACAAGGAACACAACCCTTTAAAAGTAAGTATTTCCCTTGTGCATATGTTTGTATTTTTTGTAGGTAAATTCAGATTTTACTCTTTATTTAGCTGTAATGAGAAGGAACTACCTCTCAATGGGCAAAAGAGCATCACCAGCAATGCACAAATTGGTTACAACTTCTGTCTGGCAGCAATTGGGTCATTGGTTTGAATCCCAACCATGGCTGTACTTGCCAGAAGTTTGCATGTTCTCTCTGTGCCTCTGTAGGTTTCCTCCCACACTCCAGAGGCAGGTGGCCTATGTGTAGTTTAGCTAGATGCTGCACCAGATAGGAGGGTTAGGGTTAACTGTGTTTCCTGGGCTTTGTCTTGATGTTTCATTTTGGATCCAAACCACTGGTCCTGTGTTAATATAAGGGGACAGTGGTCCAGACACCAGAGAGTCTGCTGTTGCCACTGCCACCATTGGAGATCCCTGTTGATACCAATGCAGGAGTTCTCGTTTGAGTCCACCTGCTATCAGGAGCCTTCTACTGTGTAGGGGGACTACTGGGATTCATAGTCTGCCCTGAAGATGCCAAACCTGGATTCTGCCATAAAGGACAAGACCCAGGATGGACTTTTTCCTATGCTGGTATACGGGAGCAGCCAATAAACCTAAGTTAGGGATTAGGGATGATAAGGAAGAATGAATTTGTTTTGAACTTTGTAATATTCGGAACTTTTAATAAAGCTTTTAAAACTTTGTCCTTTTCCTGGTCTGAAGTGACTGAAAGGGGTGTGTAATGCAAGTAACCAACACCACATATAGTCTAAAGTGTGGGTCAGTAAAGCACATTGGGGGTATGGTTACCAAGGGTAATGAATGTTTAACAAGCAGCCTGTCATGATGTGGGTACCTGTGATAGGTGAGACAGCCTCATGCAGTGAGAGAGATGTTGTCTCACTCTCTCTGGGAGCGGTCTGTCTACCATAGCAATGGGAGCAGATCTGCACCAAAGAAGTTATTGGCCTCTGCATAGGTAAGGAAGAACAAGAGTTACGTGAATGCACGTATGAAGTCTGTGATAGGTGGACGGCCCTCCATTCCATTACTAGTTTTGAGGTAGCAGAGATACATTGGACAGGTGGAGTGGAGCTCAGCGTAACCCTCCTAAATTATTATTATTATTATTACATCGAGTTTATATAGCACCAAAGGGTTTGCTCATCGCTGTACAATAGAGGGGGGGACAATACATGAAACAGTACAACAATAACAAGCAGCACACGAGGGGTTAGAGGGCCCTACTCTTTCGAGCTTACAATCTAGAAGGCAGGGGGTAGTGGTACAGGAGGAAATGGCTGTGGGGGATGGAGTGGTAGGAGGAATGAAGGACAATGTCTGTTAGGTGAGGGTGGGGTAGGCTTCCCTGAAGAGGTGGGTTTTCAGGGGGCGCCTGAAGGGGAAGAGGGAAGGTGACAGTCTGATGGATTGGGGTAGTGAGTTCCAGAGGATGGGGGAGGACCTGGAGAAGTCTTGCAGTTGTGCGTGGGAGGAGGAGACCAGGGAGCAAGATAGAAGGAGGCTCTGTGAAGAGCGAAGGGTACGGGTAGGGTGGTACCTGGGAATCAGGTTGGTGAGGTAGTTAGGGGCAGTGTTGTGAATGGCTTTGTAGGTCAGAGTGAGTAGTTTGAATTTGATACATTGGGCAATAGGGAGCCAGTGGAAGGATAGGCAGAGGGGGGTGGCAGAGGTGGAGCGGTTGGTGAGGTGGATGAGTCTAGCCGCTGAGTTCAGGATGGTCTGAAGCGGGGAGAGCCTGCACTGTCTACAGTGAAGGTGTACATTGACAGAGACAGAGGTAACTAGAGTACAATTATTGTTTGAGTGGTGTACTGCCATTTCTAAAGTCAGAGGCCCACCTTAAGATCGAGTATTCCCTAAAAGCAGCATTAGCATTGTCCTGGGGTATTGATGGATATGACACAAGCAAAGGTACCTCGTGTCAGGTGAGTACCCCTGTTCAAGGTTCCTAGTGTAGACAAGAAGAACCCGGCAAGGGACAGACCTCCTGGCATCAGCCCACATCATGGCGCCTGGCTACATCACATGGAGAGGCTAATCCCCAGCCCCCTACATGCTGGTAGGTTATTTAGCTTCTGTCTAAATTGGTTCTAGTACGAGTTTATGTGAATGTGAGTTAGGGAACTAAGATCTGAATTTACACTAAGAATATAAAGTGCTGTGTAAATTGACAGCTCTATATAAGTACTGTGTAATAAATAAATGCTTTGGCAGGCATGTATATACTGTACATTCTATTCATTCTTTTACTGCTTGCAAGGAATGAAAAAGATAGTAGGAGACAAAAGGATCAATTCACTGAGAGTTAAATAACGACTGAAAAAATGCAATAAACTAAGGCATGCAGTACAATTTTTGCAGAGGTGCAATTCACTAAGAATTTTTCAGTAAATAACTCTTGTGGTAAAATATCTGTATTGTGCTAATTACCCTGTATTTTCATGCGGTAATTTATTGCATGGTAGCTGGTTGTTAAGGAAGCCAGCCACGGTGTCCTTAACTCATCAGTTGTCAGCGGGTGTCCCACTGACAGCTGAATGTAAACAAAACATGCCAGCAATTACAAATGATGAAAAAACAGTGTGGGCCCCCCCATTCATACCAGGCCCTTTGGGTTGGTATGGATTTTAACCACTTCAAGTCCAGACACTTTCACCCCTTTCCTTTCCAGGCCAATTTCAGCTTTCAGTGTTGTCACACTTTGCATGACAATTGCACAGTCATGCAACACTGTACCCATATTAATTTCTTAGCATTTTTTTGAGACAGATAAAAGTTTATTTTGGTGGTATTTAATCACCACTGGGATTGTTATTTTGTTTGCTATATAAATGAAAAAGTCCAAAATTTTTGAAAAACGTATTTTTCTTATAAAAATTTTGTAAATAAATAATCTAAATAATCTTTCTTGATAAATCTTGGCCAAAACGTATTTATCTATCTTTTAGTAAAAAAAAAAAATAACTCAAATTAGTTTAGAACCAAAAATTATAATTTTTTTTTTTACATTTTTATTTTATTTTTTTATATTATTATTTATGTGGGTTTTTTTACATACTGTCACCCTAGCAGTACAGAGTCACCATAGTGACACTGTAGTACTTGTGTGGGGTGATGAATTTTTTTTTTCATTTTTACACTGATTGCGTTTACACCCATAAAGGCTGTAAAAGCAATAATTCCTCCTTCTCTCTGGCTGCATTCTTGTAGCCATTGAGAAATACTGTGCTAGCTGTGATTGGTCACAGATTGTCACATGGTACAAGGCTGTTGTGAATAGGCATGCACCATGTGTGTGACTTCTGTGCTTACTACTGTTAATGTGATCACTGATTGGCCAATCAGAGGACCCGTACAGTGATCTGTGTTCCACTGTGTCCAGAGGACACAGCGGGCACCGTTCGCAGTGCCGCAAACTCCCAGGGAGCGTACACAGGCAATGGATAGGGGGGAAGTTTAAAACGTCCCCTCGCATCAGCAGCGCTCCCATCTGGCCATTTATTGACATGGGCCAGACGGGAAGAGGTTAAGGAAAACCCCACACCAAAATTAAAAAAAAAAAAAGTCCCTTAGGTGTGGTATGGATTTTGGGGGAACCCCACACCAAAAAAAAATAGCATGTGGGTCCCCTCAAAATCCTAAGGGATTTTGGGTCTGGTACGGATCTGGGGGGGACCCCACGCCATTTTTTTTTTTTTTTTAATTTTGGTGTGTGGTTCCCCTTTATATCCATACCAGACCCCTAGGGGTTGGGGGGAGACCATCTCACTGCATCTGTAAAAATACCACATGTGATGCCGCCAGCAAAACCCTGGTGATAAATACGGCATCTTTCTTTAGTTTCTGTTCTGTTTGTGAAATGGACTTAACAGCATATCATATGTTTTTGTTTTTTTTGCGGTATTTACCGACACATTTTTAATTTTGCGGTAAATACCACAGAATCTTTTTTTTTTGTGAATTGGACATTTTGTTACCACCATAATTTATGCAAATGAGTCATGTTACAGTGTTATCGCACCCGGTAACCTTTAGTGAATTGACCCCATACTGACCAGTAAAGCATAAACTAGTGAACTCTGTTGAGGATATAAAAAAGAAAACCCATAAGTTTGACAATATTCTACAATTCTACAAGCATTTGTACCCGAGTGCATTATACAATGTCACTTCCAAAGGAGAGAATATGAATGTTTTTTCTGTCCATTGGATGAGAAATGTGCAGATATGTAGGTCAGGTTCACGGTTTGCATTGGGTTTCATAGATATGTAGTTATGCCGCTGCTCTGTCTTATCTGAACTTTGTTATAATTACTACCATATTCTTTATTCTAGTTCTATATAAGCCAGAATCAAATTCTACTGAGAACTATGCCCAAGGCATACATATTCTAATACAGATGATGTTAAAGGGATTTTATCAAAAAAATTATTTAGGATTATATTTTTGAATTTCTGTTCAAAAGTTGCAATTCAAATTTGGACTAGAAGTTGTTGATCTTAAGAACTTTAGTTATTTATAATGGCATTTCAGTCCCTTTAGAAACTACCTATCTAAAGAAAATGCTTGTCATTGTCATATGAGTTGCTGAACATGCACATTACTTCGTGTGAAACTGCACAGACAAACTAATTAAGAGTTTATTGTGCAGTGTGCATTATGTAAAATAAGGGGGGTGTATGGAGATTGACCTTTGACACTGTTTTTACCACAGATAATCCTGGGATTAAGTAAAAATGTGTTTCGTTCCATAGAGAAAGTCAATTAGTACTGCTGCTGTGGCCCAGGTGTTACCACTGTGGAAATGAAAAGGTGACCGAAAGAGGGTCATTGCAAATATTGAATAACCTGAGCTGATGTGTGCGAGAATCTCAATAAACGCTCTGTGTATGGAATGAACAATGTACCACACATGTGCACTTCTCTACATGTACTATCAAAAAGTTTGTGACAAATGCTTGCATTCAGATTAGAACTCTGCTGATACATGTTTCAGGAAGCAATCCAAAAACAAGCAAACGAAACCAGCGCTCAAATCTTCATGCAGACTAGAAGGAATTCAGAATGCCAAACGGGGAGGTGCAGCCTTTCAAAGATCGGGAAATCTGGATACTGATGAACAAAAGCAAACAAGGGCGCACTCTCATCGTGCATTACCGTGGTACAACACGTGTTTATTATGAAATCAAATAGATATATACTCACAAACCAAAGGAGAATAAAAGCAGAATAAGTAGTCCGCAATGGCAGTCAATACAATGCTGTGCCCTAATTGGGGATAAGTTGACGCGTTTCAGGAGACGAGCTGTCAGGCCCCACCCAAATGGGATCTCTAGTGGTCCACAGCACGGGATTTCCCAGGACGCGGAGTCTAAGCCCCAGTCTTCCTTTTCACCAGAGCCCCTGATGGTGGGGATGGACTTGGTGCAAGACTGGAACCAGGTCGCGCCCCTGGGCGCACCCAGCTATGGTAGAGGGGTCCCGCTGAGGGTATGTGCCCAGGATGAGCCTGCTGTGAAGGGGCTGACAGGTCCAGGTCCGAGCGGGATGGATGGATGACCTCTAGGAGTGAGCGTGGTCAGACTAGCCGGGTCGGTAACAGTGGGGACAGGTGCGGTACCAAGCAGTAGGCAAAGAGTAGTCAGGTCACACACCGGGTTCAGTAACAGAGGGTCCAAATAGCAGTAACTACAGGCAGAGGAATGGTCAGGGATGAGCCGGGGGGTCAGAGCAGGAGAGGGTCAGCATAAGTCAGGACAGGCAGAGTTTGGCAACAAGGAAGCGTACTTTACAGGAACACATGAACAGGAACAAGACCTTGCGGCAATGAGGACATTGCCTGGCCAGTTTAAATAGCGCGCCTTCCACCAACATTGGTGCCAGGCACACGCCCGTGTGCGCAAGTGCGCATGCGCGGCCGCAATTGCCGCCGCGGAAGACCAGGTCCTACTGCCTGCCCGCCGATGTACCTGGGCGATCCGCGCATGCGCAGATTCACGCGCCGCGGCAAAGATCGGGATCCCTGACATGAGCTCTGAGAAGGGGGTTTGTCTCCCGAAACGCGTCAACTTATCCCCAATTAGGGCACAGCATTGTATTGACTGCCATTGCGAACTACTTATTCTGCTTGTATTCTCCTTTGGTTTGTGAGTATATATCTATTTGATTTCATAATAAACATGTGGTGTACCACGGTAATGCACAATGAGAGTGTGCCCTTGTTTGCTTTTGTTCATGTTTCAGGAAGCCCCTGACCTGCCTATACAATGCATGATTTTCACGCTAGTTTAAATCACCTATGGCCAGGGAAATTAACAAAAGTGAATAGATTGTAAACAGAGTGTGAGCCAATTTACTGGAGATGAATATTACCAAAGCTAACCAGGAGGGATCATTATTTATTTTTTATTTAATTTAGAACTGAGCCAATTTCAGGACTACAGTGTTTGTCAAAGCTCTTACCCCTTGTCGGAGTGCTTGTATTTCTCACCTACCTTCCTTAGTATAAGAACCTGGATCAGCAGCTAGTGGCACTGTTCTTCCCAGAGTGGAAGGTTGTAGTTCCAGGGTCCACCAGCGAGTGTCTTCAAGGAGCCAGCAGATCCCAGTAATCAGTTTCCACCTGATGCTGTCTGCTGGGAGGGTATTTTGGTATTTTTCTACTGCAGCCTCTCGCTTTAGTGTTTTGCTTGCTGCCAGATACTGCTAACCATTATCCTGTTCCTGCTCTTTGCCTCATACTTATACATTGAACTCTCCTGCCTTTTTCCCCTTGTCCCCGATCCCAGTTTTGGTTACCCCTTCCTATATGTCCCCCGCACCTCCAGTTTACCCGGATTTTCTGCGATCACCATTTGTATGAATTGTACATACAGTAGTTTATTAGTTAAGCTTTTAGGTTGTTTAGTTAGGTATTTTGTCACTTTCTGTCTTTTTTCTATTTTTACTGTGTGTTGGCGTTTGGATGAATTTTGTTTCACTGTAAATAAATCTCACTTAAAGTATATACAGTCTGGTCCCAGTTTCCTGAGTGTAGCTATGCAGATTTGGCCATCTCTGCTGATGATTCCTTACACTTAGTATATCAGCATACACTTGCCGTAAATCACAGTCAAGTATTTGTTTTAACTCAAATCAAGTTGTTCCTCCGTGCAGAGAATTCAATACAAGTTCTAACATAGCTCTGATGAAGAAGGAGTGGTGTTGCCCTCGAAACACATTGGATGTTTTTATGACTTTTTTTTTTTTACCAACAATTAAAATTATCTTGGACTCTTTTATCTGATTTTGGTCTGGCAATCTTTCCTATATTGCTGCTTTGGACTACTGTTAGGTGCTCATCAAGGAAAGCCTTGTTGTGTAGGAGCTGCTTCGTCAGAGCTATTGAGCTTATTTGAAGTTTTGCTTCATCTGACTACTCATGCAAGTCTAAAAGTTCCCAGCACCTCTTTGAGTATGTTGTTCTGAAGCATTTACTAGCTGACGGTGCTAGTTGTTATTAATCCTTATCAATTCTTCTCAAATGCTCCATGGTTAATGACTTGGCCATTAGGTATGGACTTTAACCCCATGCCAAAATTAAAAAAAAAAAAAACATAATAAGGGCATGTGGCCTGGAATGGTTCAGGAGGGGGGCTCACTCTTGTCCTCCCCTTTTCCTGACCTGCTGGGCTGCATGCTTGGATAAGGGTCTTGTATGGATTTTAGGGGGACCCCACACCATTTTTTTAAACATTTTTGTGTTGGATTTCCCTTAAAATTCATACCAGGCTCAATAGCCTGGTATGGATTTTGAGGGGGACCCCATGCCATTTTTATTTTTATCATTATTTTATTTTATTATTTTTATTATTATTTTATTTTTTATTTTTGGCATGGGGTTACCCTCAAAATCCATACCAGACCTGAAGGGCCTGATAGGGATTAGGGGGACACCCATGAGTTTTTTTCCTTATTTTTAATTTTTAAAGCTGGCATTGTTTGTTTACATTCTGCTGTCGGCGTGAAGAATCTTGTTGTTAAAGATCCAACAGCCTGCACCAGCTATTTCTCACAATGAATTTGGATTGGATTAAAAAATATTGATCTATTCAATATTTTCAATTTGATTGGATTTCAAATACTTCCTAAAATTTTTAATCCATTCAAAAATGATTAAACAAAATAAAGCAAATCTAAACAAAACAAATTATAAAAATGAATCATCCGAATGTAATAAATGCAACAAAACAAAATTGTTAACAAATCTATCTGAAATTAAACACATTTTTTTGCTATGCACATGTCTGTCAAGAACACAGGGGCATGACCTTGAACTAGCTGGAGGAAAGTTCAAAACTAATGTTCGAAAGTATTTTGTACCAAACATAGTGCAACAAGCTTTCAGCAGAGGTAGTAGGCTTGATTTATAAAAAAAGTCAAAAAGGCTGTTCACTTTGCAAAAGAAGTTGCACTATGCAAGGAAATATTCCCCAGAACTTA